AAAAAAAAAAAAAAAAAAAATCCGCGGTGCTAGACGCGCTCCTCTGTTAGACGCGCTCCTCTGTCAGACAGGCTCCCTCGCCAGGCTGATTAAAAAAACATCCGTGGTGCTAGACGCGCTCCTCTGTTAGACGCGCTCCTCTGTTAGACAGGCTCCCTCGCCAGGCTGATTAAAAAAAACATCCGTGGTGCTAGACGCGCTCCTCTGTTAGACGCGCTCCTCTGTTAGACAGGCTCCCTCGCCAGGCTGATTTAAAAAAAAACATCCGTGGTGCTAGACGCGCTCCTCTGTTAGACGCGCTCCTCTGTTAGACAGGCTCCCTCGCCAAGCTGATTGAAGACATCTCGGTGGTGCTAGACGCGCTCCTCTGTTAGACGCGCTCCTCTGTTAGACAGGCTCCCTCGCCAATTTGTTTAAAAAAACATCCACGGTGCTAGACGCGCTCCTCTGTTGCACAAGCCCCTTCTGTCAAGCAGGAGCCTGTCTGACTGAGGGGGCTTGTGTAACAAAGGAGCTCGTCTAGCACCACTCAGGCTTTTTAAATCAGCTTGGCGAGGGGGCCTGTCCAGCAAAGGGGGCCGGTTTAACAGAGGAGCGCGTCTAGCACCACGGATGTTTTTTTTTAATCAGCCTGGCGAGTGAGCCTGTCTAACAGAGGAGCGCGCCTAACAGAGGAGCGCGTCTAGCACCACGGATGTTTTTTTTAATCAGCCTGGCGAGGGAGCCTGTCTAACAGAGGAGCGCGTCTAACAGAGGAGCGCGTCTAGCACCACGGATGTTTTTTTTTTAATCAGCCTGGCGAGGGAGCCTGTCTAACAGAGGAGCGCGTCTAACAGAGGAGCGCGTCTAGCACCGCGGATGTTTTTTCTTAAATCAGCCTGGCGAGGGAGCCTGTCTAACAGAGGAGCGCGTCTAACAGAGGAGCGCGTCTAGCACCGCGGATGTTTTTTTTAATCAGCCTGGCGAGGGAGCCTGTCTAACAGAGGAGCGCGTCTAACAGAGGAGCGCGTCTAGCACCACGGATGTTTTATTAATCAGCTTGGCGAGGGAGCCTGTCTAACAGAGGGCGCAGGTCTAACAGGGGAGCGCGTCTAGCACCACGGATGTTTTTTTTTTTAATCAGCTTGGCGAGGGAGCCTGTCTAACAGAGGGCGCAGTTCTAACAGAGGAGCGCGTCTAGCACCACCGAGTTTTTTTTATCAGCCTGGCGAGGGAGCCTGTCTAACAGAGGGCGCAGGTCTAACAGAGGAGCTGTGTAACAAAGGAGCTCGTCTAGCACCACTGAGGTTGTTTTAATCAGCTTGGCGAGGGAGCCTGTCCAGCAGAGGGGGCCGTTAACAGAGGAGCGCGTCTAGCACCACATATGTGTTTTTTTTTAATCAGCCTGGCGAGGGAGCCTGTCTAACAGAGGAGCGCGTCTAACAGAGGAGCGCGTCTAGCACCACGGATGTTTTTTTAATCAGCCTGGCGAGGGGGCCTGTCTAACAGAGGAGCGCGTCTAACAGAGGAGCGCGTCTAGCACCACGGATGTTTTTTTTAATCAGCCTGGCGAGGGAACCTGTCTAAAAGAGGAACGCGTCTAACAGAGGAGCGCGTCTAGCACCGCGGATGTTTTTTTTTTAATCAGCCTGGCGAGGGAGCCTGTCTAACAGAGGAGCGCGTCTAACAGAGGAACGCGTCTAGCACCGCGGATGTTTTTTCTTAAATCAGCCTGGCGAGGGAGCCTGTCTAACAGAGGAGCGCGTCTAACAGAGGAGCGCGTCTAGCACCGCGGATGTTTTTTTTTTATCAGCCTGGCGAGTGAGCCTGTCTAACAGAGGAGCGCGCCTAACAGAGGAGCGCGTCTAGCACCACGGATGTTTTTTTAATCAGCCTGGCGAGGGAGCCTGTCTAACAGAGGAGCGCGTCTAACAGAGGAGCGCGTCTAGCACCACGGATGTTTTTTTTTTTTAATCAGCCTGGCGAGGGAGCCTGTCTAACAGAGGAGCGCGTCTAACAGAGGAGCGCGTCTGGCACCACGGATGTTTTTTTTTAATCAGCCTGGCGAGGGAGCCTGTCTAACAGAGGAGCGCGTCTAACAGAGGAACGCGTCTAGCACCACGGATGTTTTTTTTATCAGCTTGGCGAGGGAGCCTGTCTAACAGAGGGCGCAGGTCTAACAGAGGAGCTGTGTAACAAAGGAGCTCGTCTAGCACCACGGATGTTTTTTTTTAATCAGCTTGGCGAGGGAGCCTGTCTAGCAGAGGGGGCCGGTTTAACAGAGGAGCGCGTCTAGCACCACGGATGTTTTTTGTTTTAATCAGCTTGACGAGGGAGCCTGTCTAACAGAGGGCGCGCTTCTGTAACAGTGGAGCGCGTCTAGCACCACTGAGAAGCACCAGACCACCAGACCACCAGACCACCTTACCTCCAGACCACCAGACCACCTTACCACAAGACCACGAGATCACAATACCACCTGACCACCTTCCTTTCAGCCGCCTTAGCAGAAGAGCGCCGCCACAACTGCTTTGGTTTACAATACAGTAGTCGGGCCCCAGCCGTCGGGCCCCAGCCTGCAGAATGTAAGCCTGAAGCAGGCACGACTGCCATAATGCCCAAATTGCATAGGTGCCCAAATTGCCTGACCACCAGACCACCTGACCACCAGACCACCAGAGCACCAGACCTCCTGACCACCAGACCACGGGATCACAAGACCACCTGACCACCTGACCACCCGACCACCTGACCACCTGACCACCTAAACACCTAACCACCAGACCACCAGACCACCTAACCACCAGACCACCAGACCACCTGACCACCTGACCACCTGACCACCCGACCACTAGACCACCAGACCACCACACCAACATACCACCAGACCACCAAACCACCAGACCACCTGACGACTTGACCACGTGACCACCTGACCACCAGACCACCTGACCACCTGAACCCCCAGACCCCCTGGACCTCCAGACCCCCTGGACATCCAGACCACCTGAACCCCCAGACCACTACCAGACACCAGACCACCTGACCACCTGACCACCCGACCACCTGACCACCTGAGCACCAGACCTCCTGACCACCAGACCACGGGATCACAAGACCACCTGACCACCTGACCACCCGACCACCTGACCACCTGACCACCCAAACACCTAACCACCAGACCACCAGACCACCTAACCACCAGACCACCAGACCACCAGACCACCTGACCACCTGACCACCCGACCACTAGACCACCAGACCACCACACCAACATACCACCAGACCACCAAACCACCAGACCACCTGACGATTTGACCACGTGACCACGTGACCACCTGACCACCAGACCACCTGACCACCTGAACCCCTAGACCCCCTGGACCTCCAGACCCCCTGGACCTCCAGACCACCTGAACCCCCAGACCACTACCAGACACCAGACCACCTGACCACCTGACCACCTGACCACCTGACCACCTGACCACCTGACCATCAGACAAACACACCACTAGACAACCATACCGCCGGACCGCCTGACCAGGTGATCACCCAACCACGAGACCACCAGACCACGATACCACCAGACCACCTGACCACCACCCTTGTGGTGGCATACGTTCGTTTGTACTTGCGCAGCTGTTATCCTCTTACTGTTCGTCGTCGTTGTCCTCCTCCTCCTCCTCCTCCTCCTCCGTTGCCCTCATCATCCTCACCCTCCTCTTGCCGCTCGACGGCCTACCCGGTGTCGGGAAACATGGGCGGGCCGTTGTCGCCGCGACTGGACGCAGATCGATGGAATGATCTGAACGGGCCTGGTGACATATACCTGCTCTGGGGGTCGGCCACCCTATGTTCCTAGGAGCTTGGGACGGAGGAGGGGAATGAGGGAGGAGGCAAGAGGGAGGAGGGGGAATAGGAGAGCGGATGGAAGAACATATAGGAAGGAAAGGATGCCAAGGGATGACGAGGGAGGATGAGAGGGGAACAGGAAAGAGGAGGAGGAGGAGGAGGAGGAGGAGGGGGAGGCGGAGGAGGGGGAGGAGGAGGGGGCGGGGGAGGAGGAGGCGGAGGAGGAGGAAGAAGAGGAAGACGGGGGAGGGACGAGGCAACTCCTCGCCCATCCCGTGGAGAACGTGGTCGCCTCCAACGGCCCTGGTCAGCCCTCCGCGGGCCCCCTCGGACAGTCGCGCGTTCGGGCCTGTAAACGTCGTTTTTTCTACCAGGCTCGTTGGTGCGATTCCGGGAATTACACCAACGAGCCTGGTAAAAAAAAAAGTACCCCAAAAACGACGGCAGGGAGAAGGCAAGGGAGGGGGGGGCGGAGGGCCCCAAGACGGCCCAAGAAGGCCCCAAGACGGCGCAAGAGACTGCCAAAACAGCCCAAGACGGCCCCAGGGCGGCAAACGAGGCTTCAAGACGGTCCAAGAGGCCCCAAAGACGGCTCCAAGAGGAGGCCCGGGACGGGGGACCCGACCAGGCGTTTCGAATCCTCGGCCCCGCGAACCCACAGGAGGCCCCAGGTTGCCTCCAAGACGCATCCATGAAGCCCCGAGAAACTCCCAAGAGGCCCTCGGGACGCCCCAAGACGCCCCCAAGAGCTTGGGAGCCTCGCGACGACGAGCTGTTTCTCGGATGGACGCGCTCGGCCAGCTCAGCACTCTCAACATCCGTGCGTCGCCGCGAACACAACCTACACACGCAAACGTGTATTCGCTGGCGGAGGGTGGAGGGGGAGGGACGGGGGGGAAATGGCGATAAAGATTGCGAACGTGAAGGGCAGGGAGGGATAGGGAAGGAGAAGGAGGATGGGGGATGAGGGAGAAGGAAGAGGGAGAGGAAGACGAGGAAGAGGACTCTGAGAAGAGCTGGCCAGCGGAAGCGGTGGGCTACCGACCAGACCCCGCGGGCCGGTGAATTATTCAGATCCGACCCAAATGCATCGTCACAGGGGCTTCGGACAGCTCAGAAGGAAACCAACCTAAAACTTTGAGCGCTCAAATAGCTGTCGAGACATTTGGGTCGGATCTTCAGCTAGTAGCACTAAGTGCTGGGCGTGGCGGCGCCGCAATCAATCGACCCCGAGCAGCGGCCCCCGCGCGCCTAGACGCGCCGTCCACCCCAGACGGCGTCGAGTCACAACAGTCCTAATCCTGACTGCTCGCGACGGCAGTCCGCTTGCCCAAAATGCGCCTCCGCTTGGGCGACTGGCTTGCTTCTCCACCGGGGCTCGCGCTGCCCGCCTCCTCCGCGGCCTGCTCCTCGGCGGCGAGCTCTGCGCCCTGCTCCGGCCGCGGCAAGACCGCGGTCTGCTCCTCGGCGATGAGGTGCGCGTTCTTCTCATGCCGCGGCAAGGCCCTCGCATAGTACTGGATGCCCTTCTCGGCTGGCGGGTCGTCAAAGCCCAGGAACCCGTTCGCATCCTGCTGTGCGGCGTCCCACTCCGCCTCGGCGTCGCGCTGGTCCTCCAGCTCTTTCGCGGCGAGACCCGCCTCCATCTCCTTCAGCGCCTCCTCCTCGTCCGCGAGCGCCGCGATGACCTGCTCCTCCCCCATGCCCTCGGTGACGGCGCCGCCGCCGAGCACCTCGGCCAGGCCCGCCTCCACTGCCCTCGATATCTCCTCCGACTCCGCGACCCCGGCCAGGAAGTAGTGGACGACGTCGGAGGCCGCGTCGCAGCTGACACCGAACTCGCGGCGCATGTCCTCGAACACGTCTGGTAGCAACCCGCGGTAGTGCTGGATGGCCTGGTGGGCAAAGCGCGCGAGCTCGGACTTCTTCTCTGGCGCCAGGAGCGCCCACCAGCCAGGCGCGCCGTCGGAGTTGGCGGGCAACGAGCCATCCCACGGCTCCCACGCGGCCTCAGGGGCGCGGCGCACCGACGAAGCACCTGCGTCGCCGCGGGGCCGCTCGCGCAGCAGGTTTGCGAAGAGCTCCCTCTCTGCGGCCTTGGCCTGCTTGAAACCGTCGGGGTAGTTCCGAACGCCACGCTTCCAGTCTCCGTAGGCCCACATGTTCGCACCCTGGAACCAATTCTCCCCGACTCCGCCCTCCACCACTACGAGGATTGGGGCATCTTTCGATGCCGAAGGGAGGCGCAGGTAAATGGCTCTGTATCCAGCGATTATGACGACGGACCTCTTGAGGACAGCGAGCAGGTCCTCCTCGGGACATCGGAGAAGGACGGCCGAATCATGGCGTAGAAGGTCTCCCACTTGATGAAGACGCCGTGCTGCGGGTTCGAAGGCTCGGCCGACCTGATGATGAGGACGAGGAGGAGGATGATGAGGAGGAGAAGGTTGGAGGAGGAGGAGGGGGAGGAGGAGAAAGATGATGTGCAGAAGGGGAGGCGCAGGCATGATAAACGCTGCAGCAGAGATAACGAAATACTACGATCAAAGGGCGAAGGAGCAATGAGAAGGGACGGAGAAGAAGGAACGGCAAGATGACACCAGCAAAGTGAGTCACAACAGGAGTCCCCTCCCGCGGTGGAGGCGGCGTCGTCGTCATCATAGTCGTCGTCATCGGTCATCGTCATCGTCGTGGTCGTGGTCGTGGTCGTCATTTGCAATCGCCAATGAAGCCCCACCCCGTGCGCGAAATGAGAGTGGGGAATGAACCTCCCTCCCGTTTAGGGGCGGCGTCAATGTCTGAGATGTCTGGGAGGGGGGGAGGCCAGTTTAAAACCACCTCCCCCCCTCGAGCGACCACAGAATGCGTTCTTTCTAAGAACCTCATCTCCCTCACCCCGCCCCAAAAAATAGCTTCCAGCAGCTTTAACTATCTGGCCCGATGGGCCGGCCCATCGCGTGTTGGATCATCACGTCAGGTGGTCGTCTTTACTTGTTCGAGCGGTCTTCGCGGCCAGAGAGACACAGAACAGGCCCAAGGCACTCCAACGTGGCCCCAAGACGGCCCCTATGACAGTCCAAGATTGGTCACAGATGATTCCCAGACAACCCAAGACGGCTCCAAAACAGCTCCAAAACGGACCGAACACTCGCCCAGGCGACCTCTGAGTAGTCTTAGTGGTTTCATCGCTCCCTCATCATCCTTCAAATCCTTCTCCTCATCTCCTCATCTTCGTAATTGTCTAGTCCTGCTTATCCTCGATCGAGTCGCTCACCCGTCAAAGGAGACGTAGCGACCCAGACCATACATTTACCGTACTGCTGTAGAGCGGACCCACGACTGAGGAAGGCCAGAGCTTCGCTCGCGAAGCGAACGGGTGCCGCCCACGGCTCCTCCCGCCCGGCGTCCGACTCGCAGCTGAGCGGGCGCGAAGGCTGTGCCACGTCCTGCGGCGGGCACAAACGGTTCGATGCTCACTCCACGAGGGCGTGGTGCAAAGTACGGCAGGCTCGAGTCCTGACGACGCAAGCGTTGGTTCCTGGCTCCGCGTGGATCGTTCACCCTTGAACGATCAGCGGTTTTTCGATCGCCAGATCGTCCCAAATTGGTGATGTTGTGGCGAATGGTGCCGTTCGACCTTGAACACCCGCGACGGGATCGCCGCCGCGTCGACACGACACGAACCTACCGTACGCGAGGGTGCCAGCGCAAAACGGCGCACAATTCGCCTGCACAGCGGCTAGCGACCGCAGCTGCAGGTTCAGGGGGACCGTGATTCTGGGCACCTTGACCCCCTGGCGTCGTCCCAAATCTTGGCGCCTGCGCTGTTCCTCCGCCAGGGGCGCCATGGGGCTTGGGGCTGCAATTCGGGTCAGGGGGCGGGCTCAGCGCGCAAGTGGAGGGTCGGAGCAGGCCGTCGCGCGGGTGTGCGCGTGTGCGCTCCCGAAGCAACTTGGAAAACCAATTGTACCAGCTGCGGGCCCTGTGTCCCCTGATCCCTCCAGGGCGGAGACCGGCATCGGGACGTGCACTGGTGCGGGGATAGCGATAGGTAAGGAAGACGGAACAGGGACATGGATAAGACGACATTGGAGATATAGGCGAGAATAGGATAGGAACATGGACGAGGATCCTGACGGGGATACGGATACGAATACTGGAATGAATAACTATATGTAACGCTCCCCAGACTGCCCAGGAGCGTCCTGGACGCCTGCGGGGACCGCGTCGAACTATCCATCCCAGCCTCTGTGTGGCAGCTCGATGGAAGCAGTACACATGCATGTCAATGCTGTGCTGGCAAGCAGTCACTGGCTTCCCCAAGTGAAGAAAACAACACGCACAAAGCATCAAGAGGGAGGCCGACGGAGAGGAGGAGCAACAATAACCTGACGGACAGCAAACGTCGAATAGTTTGATAACCAACTGCCACACAGTAGCAAACTGGTCAGAAACATCCTCCCTGACACGCTTGCGAGAAAGACGGTGTCTGCGCAAGGCACCGTGCACAACATCTCACCTAAGAAACGACATCCTCCCAGCATCACACCAAGCAATGCAAAGCGTCAAAGCTACAAAACAAAGCATCCAAACGTGTTTGTCTGATATCGATCATGTATATCCTCGCGGAGTTCTCTTGCGGCCTCTTAGGACCGTCTCAGCGGTGATTGGCCACTACTCCAACAGGCGGAACGGGCCAGGGAACACCAGCAGGGGAAGGGGGCGGAAGGAGCGAGGGGCAACAGACGACTGGAGCGAAGAGAGCAAAGAGCAAAGCAAACAGACTGCGAGGCGAAGCGAAGCGCCAGGCCGCCAACGACCGAGCTACGGCCGCTGCGACAGCGACGCCGAACTGTGCAGGCAGGGAGTGGCGCGGATGCGGGGCCGTCGGGCGGGGGACGTCGGAGGTCGGCGGGGGTGGGGGCCCTGGCGGGCGGGGGCGAACTGTCGCGCCATGGCGTGGTCAGCAGGGGACCTCTTCTTAAGCAAAACTTTGCGCCATGGTGCGTCCGTCAAAGGACACAACTGCCCGGAAAACCATCATAGTACGAGCGAGAGAATTGGCAACGCTGTGCTCAAGGCGAAAATGTCCGCTACGGATGCCGACGTTGCGCCACGCACCTGCAAACCCGAACGCACTAGCATACGATACGGACACGGGTGTGCTTCCCGCCCCACAGGAGCCCGCCCGCCAGCGGCCAACGGGAGGGAACCTGCCACGATGTGACTTGGTCACCATGGATCCGTTCAAGCGTGTTCCCCGCCCATCCGAAACCCCGCCTGCCGTCCCCCCTGCCGTCCCCCCTGCGGGCGGGCGCTCGGCCGTCTTAGAGACAGGGGACGCTTCCAGTGTAAGATCGAAGAGTGGAGCCGAAGTAAATAGAAGACCCGTATTTGAGCACGCCAATGTTAATTATGATCAAGCGAGTTTGCCGAGGACCGCTACCAGCCGAGTGCATCAGGGACCGAGAGATCCAGAACCCAGACTTCACCAGCCTCACCTTCGACCCGTCCCTAGAAGGCAAGGATGCCTTCGTGCTGACTGACACTGGATTGTTTTCGCCTAGCCTGGACAAATATCGAGGCCAGCATGCTGCTAAACGTGTGAGGATCCTGACGGCGCACACAAACGGATTCATGGACTAGGCGACGAGCAAAGATGACCGCGTCAAAATCGGGGATTGGCTATCTGCACGCCAGATTTGGCACGAAATTGATGCTAACCGACACTCCCCGAAGGCAGAAGCGGAGCGCGGCTACTTCAGTATTTTGCCTGGATATTCATAATCCCTGCAAGATGTTCCGTTGATATATCATGGTCAGTGGGCTTCGCCGCTGACACGAGGAAAAAGGGATGATACCGTCAAGCATACACTAGAGTAACACTGAAAGGAGGAGGCCGGCCCGCCGGCCGACGCACGCGGGCGCCGCAGGCTCGCTCCTTTTCCGTTTCCCTAGAGCCAAAGTGTAGCTGCAGGAATGAAGAAGTCAGCACAGCAGACAGCGCATGCAAGGTAGGGGTCCGTAGAGTCGCCCCGACCCCCAACCCACCTGGCCTGTACATAAATACAGCCACCGGAGCGAACCCCAAAAGCATTTGACCGTTCAACGGTGGTTGCCAAGGAGCGGAAGACCGAAGTAACCCGACGCACCCCGCCAGAGCTAATACTTCCCAGCTCAGGCCTCAATGCCCATGCACACCTGGTGCACCCACTTCATGATGAACTGTGGACCGGCATTGACGAAGTCGTACTGGTCCTTCTGTACTGCTTCACCTCTACCGTTCATTTCTCCATTCTCGAGAATCATCCCACGTGTCTCTGTTGCCCCAGTTCCACTGGTACTGATCTCTTGAAAAATCGTCATATATATATAAATATATATACATATATATATATATATATATATATATATATATTCTGCTCGAGCTCCAGCGGTTTGGCTGATTCCTGCCCTGGCCCTTCTCGGGCGGCTTCGCCTTCGGCGCGGGCGGCGGCGGAGGCTCTGGCAAGGTGCTCGGCACCCCAGAATCACATTTGAACTCGTCGTTGCAGTCGTTCAAACTAAACCAATGCCAGGTTTTGCTATGCCCAATGACATTTTGATGACGAGATACATGTACGTAGTACCCTTGAACTTCTCCGTTTTCATTTTTGTCCGCATGGTCGGCATTCGCGCCATGGCCGCCGCCCATGGCCGGCCATGGGCCGCCGCCATCGCTCGCGCGGCCGCCCGACTCTACAATGGACTCATCTGCCCAAGACTGGACCCTATCATAGTCAGACCAGCCAGAATTGGTGCTCGACGCGGCTGGGCCAGCGGGCACGGGAGCATAGGGAGCGGCCCCATGGGATTGCCCCCCCCCCCCCTATACCTGTCTCGATGCTGGGCGAGAATACCGCTGAGCTCGCAGCCCCGAGTCGGCGGCGCCGCTCGGGGCGTCCACTTCAGCTATCAGGATTGCAGCATCTGCTGAAGACTCAGCTGGAGTCGTCTCTGCGGGAGTCCGCCGGGTCGCTCTCCTCCTTTTTCTGCTTCAGGCAAGTGGCAATTCCAACGGCATCGCCCGTGCTGAGAAATCCAAAACGGCTGTTGGCTAGACAGACCTTGACATTAAAGTGAGGTTCCGTAGACGCACGCATGAAAACAATGGCTTCTTGGATACTTGGGCAATTATGTCTGGCGGTATCTGATACCTCATGTCCCAATCCTTTGGTCCATTCACGACGTAGGCCGAACGATGCAATAGAAGATCTAATTCGACAGCCCAAAGCATGAGCATCGCCCATAGCTTCAAGAGCTGCATTCGCATAGCGCATGTCGCGCTGCACTTCGCATCCCGGAAATGCAAAAGCGATTCCCGCAGACACGAATAAGAGTATTACTTCTCGTACAGCAGCATCCGCCCCCATCTCCCGCGAGCGGGAATTCGGTCAAATGGTTGGTTCCATATTTTTCACGAGCTCGGACAATTCAGGCGGCACATCATGAATGACATCTGCGTTTAATGGCAAGTCGGGGATGTCAATAAATTTTCAAGAATGGATTGTGTCGCAACTTTGGTAATTCCTGGCCTATCATATATGAGTCATCATTGTGCTCTGTACTAGACATGCAGCCAGAAACATAATTCAAATCAAGCCAAGAGGGGAGCGTTCGCGTCGGGATAATCAGCCGACGACGCTGGGCAATGCGTCGATTGCATCTGCCATCCGACATCGCAACTTTCTCTTCACGGGCTGATATTGCTTCATCAGCGCGGCTGGACCGATGATGGAGTGGACCGATGATGGAGTTCAGCAAAAACCCGGAAGTCTATATCCCCAACTGTGTTTGATACGGAAACTCGGCTGGCAACGTTCAAACTATCCGGTAACACTTGAACCGATGGAATTACTACTCCTTTTTCCGCCACTCCTTGCCCCCATTGGTCCCGGCCCGTCTCTGGACAAGTTTGCTCAGCACTAACATGATTTCAATCGAAAACAGCACAGGCAGAGCATCGCAACGGACGAGCGCATCGATACAAATCCGGCGCCCAGATTAACGGCTACTATTGGGCAGCGGTTCGGGCATTGCCCCCATGCTTGACCTTCAGCCACTCAATGAATCGGAGCTTGAGTGGTTCCAGATACTGAAAATATAGTTCATGACGTGCCGGCGGCTGTGCCCTGTCGCTGTCAGGTTCCCAGGAAGGGGCGGCCCCCGGCTGTGAACTTGCAAACGTATAGCCTGCCAAAGCAGCCCAGAGACGCATCTGTGGGCTGTTAACCCACTTGCGCCGGCGCTGTTCAGCTTTGTGTGAATTTTCCAGCGCATCGGATAAACTCTTTCTCTCATGCGCGCGCAAGTCTATCGTTGCGCGACCCTGAATGGAGCGGGGCGGAGGACCTCCCCAAGATTCCACGTCATCCAGAAATGTCTTGGCGCCTGACGTCACGCAACA